GCCCCCGCCCCTGCTGCCGGCCACCATGGAGAACTGGTAGGAGCCAGAGGACGCACCGTAGTAGAGGTGGTAAGGGGACGGGTTGGTCTGGAAGGGCCCGCTCTGGTTCTGCGGGGCCCCAGGGTACGGTGGCGGGAGGTAGGTGGGGTGGAAGCGGCTGGTGGCGGGCATGCTGGCCACGCTGAGGCTGCTGATGCTCGTGCCCGAGGGCGTGGCGCTGTAGGGGAAGGCCGCGGACATGGTTCCCGGGTAATGCATCCTGGGGTCCGGGAAGCGGCTGTCCGTGAGGGTCTGTAGCGCTGGGAAGGAGCGGTCGAACTGGCGGGGGTCGGAGAAAGGGTTCAGGTCCGAGGTGCCTGGGGGACAGCAAAGAGGACCATCAGTCGCAGCTGGACACCACCCCAGCAGACTACTTCTTTTTTTTTTTTGGCAGGCCAGGTGCTATGACACAGACACTTAAGGAGCCTTTCGTAGGGGAGACTTCCCATCCACAGAGGATGTGGCTGAAGCAATGGCGGAAAACCACATGCGGCCGACTCCTGAGTTCTCGTGGCCTTTCCCACGTGGCCTTTCTAGAACCAAAGAACTCAGGAGCGGGAGTCCTTGCAGCCGCACCTGGGGCAAGGCTCACCTTCCCACCTGCAAACTGAAGGGGCAGCCCCGGGAGGGCATGGGGAGCCCTTTCTCCCCTTCTGTCCTGCCTTCACCTGGCCACGGCTCGCCCCCCACAGCCCCCCAACCAGGACGCAACACCCAGAGCATCCTCTGGGACAACCGTCTGAGAGCCACCGACGTGAGGCCCCAGCATCGCACCAGCCTTTCCTGTGGTCCCCACCAGGGCCCGCCTTTGGGGGTGTTGGTGGGGTGCTGCCAAAGGAATGCGGTGGCCTCCTGAGGAGGCGCTGAGGTTGGCGACCACGGCTTTGCCTTTAAGAGGCCGTGTTTGAAAAAGTTGGAAGCTCTTCTAAAATCAATTTAAAAACTAGTCTTTGTAAGACGGCTGTGGACCATGGTTGGTTACGTGGAGAGCTGTGTGGCAGAGGCTGGGCCTTCCCAGGAGGTGGGGGTGGGGTGTGCACAGCTGGGCTGGCTGGACCGAGTGCGACAGGGACGTTGCTCTCTGAACTCACCCCGGTGCTTTCTGTTAGAACCGCTCTGGCCTCTGTGCTCTCTCCAAAATTGCAATTCCGAGACCAGCGTGGGGTGAAGGAGGACCCAGGCCCCACCCAGAGAGCGGTGGGTGGGTGCCTCGGGCTGGGAAAGTGCACGGAGGTGCCACCAGAGGCTGCAGGTGCCGCCAGAGGCTGTCTACACGGGGCCCGGGGCCCACGGGCAGCTGGAGGGGACGGGCTGCGTAGCTGTTAGGAACTGGGGGGACTGGCTAGGGGTGCTCTCATCCCACTTGTACCAGTGATGTTTGGAACTCTGGACGGGCCCTTTCCCTAGAACCAGAGAACTCAGACACGGGAGTCCATGCAGCCTGTACCCTTGGGCGAGGGTACGAGGGGTACCCCTCTGAGGGTGGGGGACCTTCCAGTTCTGCCTCGATTTGTGTAAATGCGGAGGAAGGGCTGGGCCCATGAGGTGCAGGGTCTCTGAGGAAGGTGGGGGTGGGGAGGCCTGTCCAGGGCCCTGCGGACAAGAGGCCAGACTGTGTGGGCAAACGCTGCCTCTCTCTGGAGCAGAGATGGTCTCTGCCCTCGGAGACCCGGGTCCTGTGACAACACTGGACACAGCCAGGTCACCAGGGCAGGAGACAGCAGGAGGATGCTTTTCCCACAGGACAGTGGGATGAGATGACTAGGATCTGGGCTCGGGGTAGGGGCCCAGGGGCTGGTCCTTACCCCTCTGTACAAAGACACGGCTGGACTGGATGCTCTCGGAGCCACCCACCAGCTCTGGGCCCGGGGCTCATTCCTGCCCGAGCCTCGGAGCTGGGCCAGCCCCTGGCCGGGAAGGTTCCAGGGTCCCTGCCTCCGTCGGGAGCAGTCCACTTTGCCCCGGGAGGTCAGTAGGGCCTCCACACAGCCTCGTCCATGCGGCCCGGTGTGCTCAAGGCAGTGGGCGAGTTGCTGTGGCTGCCATCGGCCTCCACGCCGTCGCTCTGGCCGCCCAGGCTGGGGTTCAAGTCGGGCGGATTTGTTTTGCTGGCTCCTTGGGCCCATACTTCCCACCAGTTACAGGCCACAGCTATTGGGGACGGCGCAATGCCTTGCTATGCCCATCCGAATTCCATAACACTGAGCAGAGAGGTGCCCGCCTTGCACAGGTGGCTGCTAAGCAGGATGGTTTTCAGGGGCTCAAGCGGTCCCATCACGCGTGGTATGTTGCCTGGAGGGGAAAAGCGATTCTGCACAAACAGCAATGCTGTCTGGGCTAGAGCTACAGGAAGGCACCAGAGTTGGGAATAGGTGGCTCAGCTGAGGCCTGAAGCATATCTTATTTTGCAACATAGAACATGCTTCCCACACAGACCTCAGAGGAGATGGCAGGGAGATGGCCCACAGGAGCTCCTGGGGGCAGCTTTCCTGTGTTGTGCACCTAGAGACATGGACATCCACCCATGAACGGAGCCAGGAGTCACAGGCACTGGTGCCGTGGCCCAGCAGACCTCTGTGTGCTTCCTTCGTGTCTCCACGGTGTGTCTTTCACCCTTCAGTTGTAACTCATATATGCCTTTATTTTAAAGTGGGTGCTCTGTAGCTTACATGTCATTTTTTTAAAATGTATTTTTGTTGATTCCAGAGAGGAAAGGAGAGGGAGAGAGAGAGATAGAAACATCAATGATGAGAGAGAACCATTGATCGCTGCCTCCTGCACATCCCACACTGGGGAATGAGCCTGCAACCCGGGCATGTGCCCCGACCGGGAATCGAACCGTGACCTCCTGGTTCATAGGTCGATGCTCAACCACTGAGCCACGCAGGTGGGCCCTAGCGGAATTCTTTAAGAATGTCCTTGGTTAAGGAGGTCAAATGCAGGGTGACAGGAGGAGACTGGGTTTCGGGTGGTGAGCACACCATAGAGTATATTACAAAGCTGTATGCCTGGAATGTATCGATCTTATTAACTAATGGTACCCCAATAAATTAAATTCAAAAAGAAGCTCTGGCTCTGCTCTTACTGCCTTGGCTGCTGGGGGGCGGGAGCCCTCCTGACCTGGTAACGGTCCTGCCTGGGAAGCAGGTGGGCAGGTACCCGGGCCGAAGATGGCCACGGGCGCCTTCAGGGCTGATAGGGAAGGGGGCGGCTCTTCTCTATCTTCTGGAATCCTCTTCACAGCCTGGCAGTGCAGAGGCCTGTGGGGGGGCGGGGGCGTGAAGGTGGGCCCCCACCAGGGACAGTGCCGGTCTGGCCTGGCAGCTTCTGCCTCCCTCTCTCCTGTTAAGAGCTGGCAAGCCTGTGGGTGTGGAGAGGGTCTGCATGGCCCTGTGGGAGGGATCTGGAGCTGCTTTTTCAGGTAGGGAGGCTGAGGCACAGGGGAAGATTAATTTCTGGATGTTGCAGAAAGGACTCAAACTCCTCATGGGACTCTGCTTTGTGCTTGGCTGGGCTGCTGTGCTGCCCGCACCTCTCCTGCCGGGGGCTTGGTGCGGTTATGTGAGCTTATCCCTGTGTGGTGGGGTCAGGCCCAGAGGAGGTGG